ATCAGCACTGCCATGGAATTGAAGTTCCACCTGGTCATCAATTTAGTAGAGTCAAATAAAAAGATCCATTAGGTTAGAGTGACAACACTTCTCTGATTCGATTTTACCATGTAAAGAGAGTGACTATAAAATAGACTTAAATTCCAAACCTACATGTTTCCCAAGAAATCAAGGTGCGTATACCTCTGTTGGCAATAATGCAACAGGCTGGCAATCGAAACCAGAACCCACATCAAGGACAATCGAGGTAAACTCGCTTCCACCTTCAAGAAAAATTTCAACGAGGACTTTGTCATCAATTCCCTGTCAAAAATCAAAAGAATGTGTAATTCACGAGGAGCAACATTAAAACTTCTAAAGCATAGTTTTCCAGTCAAACAATTCTCTAGCTCGAACCCCCAGATAGACTACTTTGCTAAGCTTATAATCCATTTACAAATATGTAATTTCAGAAGAAGAATTTTGGTGCCAAAGTACACACCGATGCTATTATATAATATTAATATGTGAATAGTCATCCCATATGCACTGTAAAGGCATCGAAATTTTAGGTAATCCTATTCCTTCTATTTCCGACCTTGATGTTCCTATAGCAATTAGGAAAGGTGTCCGAAATTGCATTAAACATCCTATTGCAAATTACCTCTCCTATCAAAGATTGTCTAAAAACCATAGAGCTTTCACATCTAGGATTTCACACTTGTTTGTTCCAAGGAATATACAGGAAGCATTGGATGATCCGAATTGGAAATTAGCAGTCATGGAGGAGATGAATGCTTTAAGGAGAAGTGGTACTTGGGAGATAGTTGATCTACCTAAAGACAAGAAAACAGTTGGGTGTAAATGGGTGTTTACGATAAAATGTAACGCAGATGGAAGTGTTGAGAGATACAAGGCGAGACTGGTGGCTAAAGGCTTCACTCAAACTTATGGGATCGACTATCAGGAGACGTTTGCTCCTGTTGCTAAAATAAATTCCATCAGAGTACTGTTATCTCTTGCAGTAAATTCAGATTGGCCTCTACATCAACTTGACATTAAGAATGCATTTCTCAATGGTGATCTTGAAGAGGAGGTGTTCATGAGCCTACCGTCGGGATTTGAGCAGAGACTTGGAAGTGACAGAGTATGCAGATTGAACAAGTCATTATACGGACTCAAACAATCACCAAGAGCGTGGTTTGAACGCTTTGGGAAGGCAGTTATCAGTTGTGGCTTCTTGCAGAGTCAAGCAGATCACACAATATTTTATAAACATTCAAAAAACAGTAAAATTGCAATTTTGATTGTTTATGTTGATGACATCATTTTAACTGGTAATGATGAAGTAGAGTTTGCAGCCCTCAAAGAGAAACTCGCAAAAGAATTTCACATTAAGGATCTGGGAGCCCTCAAGTATTTTCTCGGAATGGAATTTGCAAGATCCAAGGAAGGTATATTCGTTAATCAGAGAAAATATGTTCTTGATCTCCTTGGAGAAACAGGTATGCTTGGTTGTAAGATGGTGGAGACTCCGATCGAGCCTAACTTGAAGTTACAAGCTGCTAAGGCTGAAGAAGTCAAAGAGAGGGAACAATATCAGCGACTTGTAGGAAATTTGATTTACTTGTCTCATACGCGGCCTGATATTGCCTTTGCAGTCAGCATGGTAAGTCAGTTCATGCACTCACCAGGGGCAGAGCACTTTGAGGCCGTTTATAAGATCTTAAGATATTTGAAAGGAACTCCAGGGAGAGGCTTACTGTTCAAGACACATGGCCATCTTCAAGTTGAAGTATACACAGATGCAGACTGGGCAGGAAGTGTTACAGACAGGAGATCAACATCCGGATACTGCTCCTTTGTAGGTGGGAACCTAGTTACATGGCGGAGTAAAAAACAGAATGTGGTAGCTAGAAGTAGTGCAGAAGCAGAGTTCAGAGCTGTTGCCCATGGAATCTGTGAAGTAATGTGGATTAAAAGAATTCTTGAAGAATTAAAGCTTTCTCACCCGACACCTATGAAGGTCTATTGTGACAACAAAGCAGCTATATCTATAGCTCATAATCCAGTTCTACATGATCGCACAAAACATATAGAAGTGGATAAACATTTCATCAAGGAGAAAATCAATGCTGGCATAATCTGTATGACCTACCTTCCAACAGGTGACCAATTAGCTGATGTGCTAACGAAGGGACTACACAAGAAGCAATTTGATAAGCTGACTTGCAAGCTGGCTATGGACGATATCTTCAAACCAGCTTGAGGGGGAGTGCTGGAAATTTGTGTTAATGTATATAATATGATAGTGGTGTTGGTGAAGGATAGTGGCATGTATAGAATATGATAGTGGTGTTGGTGGTAGATAGTGGCATGTATATAATATGATAGTGGTAGATTGTGGTAATATATAATATGTAAGTGGCATATAGTGGGTTATAATGATGTTTGTAATATCTCCTATATAAGGAGTGTCATTTGGTCTTGTAAGATAAGAAGTTTTGAATATAACAGAAATATATTCCTTCTTCCTCATATTTTCAGAGTTTTTCTTCCTCATATTTTCTAAGTATTGGAATGACAAATAACATTATTTACAAAACTTAGCTACTTGCTAGTAGTTGTTACAGTAGCTGCATATTAAGGTGGTTCAGACCAGATTGTCATCTGCATGCACTAAACATTATGCAAGGATGCCAATTAATAATAGGTCAGAAAAACTACCCAATTGTAAAAACGTAAGAGAAAATCTCTCTCTCTCTCTCTCCCTCACACACACACACACAACACACATGCACACATGACACGAGAGATTACTCTGCAAGGTTTATATACTAAAAAATTTCTGCTTTCTGCCTTGCAACTTACGTCTTCAGAACGAAAGCAGTGGACTATACACTGGAGATGGTTCAGTTGACATCAAGGGGCAACCTGTGTTGAAGAGCAACACTGGAAATTGGAGAGCATGCCCCTTCATTCTTGGTAGTTGCTAGTCCATCATTCTCCATATTTTTTATGTTTCTGATGTTCCATCTTTCCTTCTAATATCTTTATATTTAAAACAGGTACTGAATGTTGTGAACGTTTAGCTTTCTTTGGGATTGCTATTAACCTAGTCAGCTATCTCACCAAAACAATGCATGAAGGAAATGTCTCTGCTGCAAGAAATGTTTCCAATTGGACAGGCACTGCCTACCTAACACCGCTTATCGGAGCAGTCTTGGCAGATGTATGTTGGGGAAGGTATTGGACAATTGCTGTCTTCTCTTCAATTTATTTTTTGGTAAGTATGAACTGAAGTTCACAATGTTCTAAATACTTAGTTCAGAAAGAGATGGGCAATGATACATAAACAACTTCAGCTTTTTAATCATTGCTTTGATCCTTTTTTGTGTTGGGCATGCATTACGTCATCTTAAAGTTTTCTGATAAAGGCTTGCTTGTTATTTGAATGTTCTTGTAGAGTCCGATTATGTGTTACCTACAGCTTTCTATTGGAACCATATTGGCCTATCGTAGGGCCACAATCCATTCTAGATGCTTGTGACTTTATTAGTTATTGATGGTATTTCCTAGGTGTACCCATTGTTAGGTTTTTATTCTTGGCAATCCCGTTTGACAAAACTCTTTTTAGTTGTACTTGTTTTCGCACTTTTATTTTAGTAAGGCTATGAGTTTGTTATATGCGAATCCAATCCGAATTGTGCCGTGCAGAAAAGTTTATAATGTTAATACTTTCAAGATTGCCACTTCGCTGATTATGACGGGGATCGAGCTACCCGGTCAGCTCGTAGGGGTCGAGGGGGCAGCGCCCCTTGACGGGTCCAGGGCAGCGCCCGGGCAGGGTCGAGGGGTAGCGCCCCCGAAGCAAAATGCAAAATTGCATTCGAAGTTGCCTATCCGCCCTTGCTCGCTCGAGTAAAGGAGTTCTCGCTCGAGCGAAGGTTGCGTCTGTGTAAAAACTTGAAAGAGATGAATGTACACTCGAGCGAAGGGTGCATGGCTCAAGCGAAGCCACTTATGGAAAACACGCGTTTTTGGTTCCTCGCTCGAGCGAGAGAAATTTCGCTCGAGGGAGCTTCGCAGTCCTAGATTTCTATAAGTATTTGTTTTAGTCCAAAACTAGGATTACTCCTCCAGATCTTCTTCTTGGATATTAAGGTTTATATCTGAGGATATTTTGCTAGTTTTTTCTTTGATGTTTTAATTGAGTATTCAACTCATGGGTTAAGAAGAATACATCAAAGGTTTGTTTGTTCATTCTACACAAGAGAGAGAGTTGTTCTTCGGTGGATTCTGAAGAATTCGAGTCTGAAGCTTTGGTGGATTCTGGAGTGGCTCATCGTCAAGACAATTCCGAGGTGAAGACGGGGTTGGAAGAGGCACATAGGGTTGGTTCAATTCGGCGTGGATTCACTAGGTAATTGAGAGTATACCTGTGTAATTCCTTTATGTCTTTTTAGTGGATTGTTTTGCGGCTTTTATCCGTGGTTTTTTATCACAATTGGAGATGTCCAATTGTGGTTTTTCCAAGTAAAATCGTTGTGTCGATTTGTCTTAATTGTTTGATTGGGATTGTTATGTACTGCTTAAAATTGATATATAATCACAAATCAACATCTAGGGGATTTCAAGATTTTTCACCCATCATCTAGTCTGGTATCACTTGAATGTATGAATCAGGGTGGTAGTGGTTTCAAGAATAATGAGTTAGGAGTCAGCAACATTACCAACAGCATGGTGCAATGGCAATAGACCTACTTGTGCCAATTAAACTGGGGATTTATCTATAAGGATAAAAGGACTAATAATCTGGACATTTTATTAAATCAAGAACGGGAGAAGAATTATATGTGATGAAAGTTGTTTGATCGGTTGACTACCCTCTTTTGTGAATTTTATTACTTTGTTTTACCCTATCTTCTTTTCTGATAATAATTTTCTGGTTACTCTCAGTTCTAGAATGTTTTATTTATTACTTAATTTGAAAATAGGAAAGGAAGTCGGAACAAATTTATGGACAAATTTAATGTTCTGAAAGTGATTTGGATCATGTCCCAGTTGGGGTTTTCATATTAATTATGATCCATCCAACCTAGTTGGGATATTTTTTTTTTTTTTTTTTTTTTTTTGGTTTTTTTTTTGTTCTGTCCATTGTTGTCGAATCGTGAATTGTTTTGCTAAAATAGCGAACTGTGAGATTCATTTTATTTAATATGATATATGATTTTATATTTACAAACATATAAAATTACACATAATATTTAAAATGAAGTAAATATCAATATAAATAAATTGTATGTCTGTATATACATATAAAATCACATATAACTAATTGATCTCTTCTATATATCTTGATAGTTTGGCAAAAATGATATCGATTCATGCATTATGTAAACAAAATAAAAAATAGACATGAATTTCAGTGAATTGCAAATTGAATCGTACAATTCACTCAATTTCCGATTTAACAGCACAACTCAAATCATTTTTGCTAAAACTCATGTCGAGTCGTATGAATCAAGTAGTGAATCGTACGATTCTGAAAACCATGGTTCTTTCCTCTCAAAATTTTCAGGAGTGGCTTTCATCTATATCTCTCTTACGTTTTTGAACTTCGTTATTTTGTAAAGGGAATGTGCACATTGACTCTAACAGCCACAGTCAACGTTATATAAACTATCATATAAGTAAAAAGTATTGTATAAGTCTAAAAAAAAAAGATGAACAGTAAAGAGATAATTATAAGTATTCAGATAGTTTAATTTCATACATAACAAGTCATTTTTTGCCAAGAGAAAACATATCATACAAGCATGATAGAAATAAAATAAAAATTAAGAAAAATGCAGTCGTTGAACTCTCATTTTATTGTGTTAAGGAGGTCCAAGTACCAACCCCTCCTCAAACCCAAACAGAAGGATCAAATTCTCATTTTGGGGTGTTGGTGTTGGTCTACTAGGAAATGGACATGTTGCCAATAAGGAAAAAAGAAACATTGGAACTTGGGTTTTACACTATTGTTCATGCATGTTTCCAATCAAACGGAGCAAATGAACAGTTATTTGTAGAAAAATCAAACAATTCCCTCCCCCTAAACCTGTCACTAGTAGTTTCCTTAAAGATAAATCAATTAGAATGATACAATTGCCAAAATCAAGAATTTAAGATCTATTTAAGTACCACACAAATAAACTATTTTAAAGAGATGAAAATAGATCAGAGAACTTCCCATTACTTCTGTGCTGACAAAATTCATACCATACTTTATCCACACTTGTGCATCTTCCAGTAATTTTCATTTGCCTTCCAATCCTTGCTTCTTAGTCCATAGATGATAAGGATATAAAGCCAATCCAATAAACAACTAGTGAGAGGACTCAACGAAAGGAATCATAAAACTACCATAGGAAAGAGCACATTACTAGAAATCCCCCCATCTTCCAAACTTTAAGATTGCATATTTCAAATACATCTCCCATGAAATAATATTTTTGAATCCAAGCTCAAAAATTAAATTATTTTGTTTATGAAACAATGATTTTTTTCAATAACACCTTAAAATAAACCACACTGAATGAAATGAAAAAAATAAAACAAATGACATATTTTTAAAAAAATGACTTGCATTAAATAAAGCAATAAATTATCATCCCAGTATAATGTACAGAACCATGACAAAATAAAATGAGGATAAATGAGGACACCTTAATGATATTCAAGCTTCTATTGTGTCTTCATAAACTAATTGAGGTAAACCTGGTAAATTTTAAAGGTAATTTCATTAAACCTATTTATCTTAGTCTCAAGACCTCTCAAAACTTCACAAAAGCATCATATAATCTCATAATTACGCCACTCAATATAATTCATACTACTCCAGTATATGAATAATTATGGTGGTGATCCCATTTACACAACCAACATGTTTGTTCAATGCAAAAATATAAAAGGCCTACTTACGTGCAATGCCCAAAACACCCATTAAATACGTTTAAGTTGTAAATCAATTGATAAGCTTCTAGATGGCAGAAGAAAACTGAAAACAGATTATTAATAAGGGATATGATAGTATAGTGTTTAAACTAGGAGAAACAAGGGAAAAATTTACTTCAGATCATTGGTATGGTCTAGTTTTCCTGCTTCCTTTAATTGCTGAGGTTTTGTCTGGTGTTTCATACAGGAGAATACTGTTCCACTTGCGTAATGATGCAACCAAAAACTTGGCAAAGTCTTGTAAAGAGGGCTTCCCCCCGGGTTCTGAAATCTATATAGTGGAGTGCCTGAAAAAAAAACTACAATGGCAATGCCCATAAACATGCAGGGATGCCAAAACCCAGGCCCCACCCAGCATTTTCTTGAATCCACACAATTAAAATAGTTGATGCAAGAGCACCAAAATTGATATAAAAATAAAACCAGTTAAAGAAAGATCCCTTCTTTGCCCTCTCTTTAGGATCGGTATCATCAAATTGATCTGCCCCAAATGGAGGGAAACACATGGTTTGATCCCGCCAGTTCTAGTGCAATCAGATACACCCAAGATAGAATAACAGGATACTGAGCAGGAGTAGCTGGAGGGCATATGGAATCAACACATTTCAGCTGGCTTTCAGTGCAGGA